AATTTTCTTACTTCGTTTTATTTAAAGTTGAGTGGAAATTGACTTCGGAATGACTTCGCTCAAATTCGCTTAAATTTGACTTGAGTTAACGTTTACTAGTCCAGCCTCACTTCAGTTAAATCTTTAGAAATTGAAACGAGTAGATTAGTAAATAAACGAAATTGAAAGTGAATCTTTTTTTTTTTAATTTTTCTTTATTAAATAAATTCTTCTTATTTATTAACACATTTGTGGTTTGTGTGTTTTTTATTGTTGTTATTTTTTTTTATATTAATAGTATATATAATATTATATTAGCAGAATTACATACAATAGAATATATTTCTTGTTAACTTAGTTTTCTTTTCTTCTTTTTTTTTCTTTTAATTACAAAAAAGAAAAACTTTTTCAATATTTTTCAATATTTTATAAGTTGAATAAAGAGATTTTAGAAATAAAACAAACAATTATGAAAATTATCAGTGTCTGGATTTGTATGATGACTGACCAATGATTTTTAGTAAATTGTTTTTCCTCTTAAAGTATAAAAAAAAAAAAAAACAATAACTAGACTGTATTTAGGAGACAACTGGAACTGGGATTAAGACTAAGACTAAATGTAAAGAAATAATTACTGATGACTCTACAAAGAAGGATAATTAATTTGTTTCTTTTAATTTGGACGTTTATTATCCTTTTTTTTCTCTTTTTTATATTTTTATAGAAAAATTGTCGATAACTTGCAGGTAAAGAATAAAAAGTTTTTATTAGTTAAGCTATATAACTATTCATTTTATTTTTTTTATGTGCTTGTGGCACATGGCCATCTTTTATAGTATGGGAAATGATTCTGAATCAATCTAAGATTGTCTTTCCGTGTGGCTGCCTTATTTTTGCTAGTGTTCAGCTCACAGTTCGCAATTGTTGAGAGACTTTCTAACCCTTGCTCTAGAAACCAATATCAGTGGTGCTAAGAACTTTCGTAATCTCTTGAAAATTGTCTTTTGCTCCTACAGTCAAGCAATTGTATTTTCTCATTCTTATACCACATATATTCAAGCTGATGTGCTGATCAAATTGCTTCTTCGAGATTTGCTTGGATTTTCTTAAAGTCTTCTCTTGGTTTTTTAGACTTTTTTTTAATAAAAGAAGAAGAGAAAATGAGACATGCAGAACGCCTAGCATAGTTGCAATTCCGGAAGCCATTTCTGTTCGGACGAAAAATTCTGATGGTCTTATTATGATTTTATGCCTGTCTCCATATAAGTAATTAGGTTTGAATTAATTGTGAAAATTAATTTTTTCATTTGGCGACATTACCGAAAGCAAAGTCGAAATTCGTTATTCGAGCGTCTTAAAAAGAAGAAGTTTTTACGTTTTCTTAAGGTCTCCTCCTTTCCAAATTTAACAAAAAAAAAAAAAAAAAAAAAGGTATTGAAAAAAAGATTTTTATTTTCCAACAATTTTTTATTTCACTTTAAAAAAAATTCTACATAACTCTTCTTTCCTTTGAAATTCTAGTGCATTTCTTTTGTTACTATCGGGATCGCAAGATTTATAAATCAATTCTATTTGAATGTATTTCCAGTGAGGACAGTCACTATCAGTAATTCGACCAGGACGGTTAAACCGATTGGAAGATATATTCGTTATACACTGTTAGTTGGTTACTAAAACGAAAACCAACAAATCTCCCAAGAAGTGGCCAAAAAATGGCATCTTCAGTCAATTTGTGTCGACACTTTTAAGCCGTTGAAACCAAAACCGACAATTGGTGCGCTTCGGCAGCATATTGCTTCAAATGAACAACAAATGTAATCAATGTGGAAGAAGAACAATTTTGAGCGCTTGACGATTAGCGTCGCTGAACAAGTCACTAATGTTAAATGGAAAACTGTTATTTTATGTAGAGGAAGATCAGAATCATCGAATTAAACCATTATGTACATTGGTATTTCCCATTTCTTTATCATTATTAGTAGAAAAATAATGAACATCACTAAAAAGGATTTCTTGAAAGGGAAGGCAAAAAGGAGAATATTATTGTGTAAATGGAAATGGAACGGAATCCAACGAAGCAGAATTTAAAGTTTGCTAGATTTTGCGATCAGATTGTTTTTAAAATCGATTTTAACGCTGGTTGTCGGGATAAACGTTTCCTTATTCGGATTTGGAAAACATAGTAATGTTATTTTGTAAGAGGATATTGCGCACAATGCTAAACTCTTCAGCAAAGCTTTGCGGAATATAAGTGACAAAGCTCTTGACTTTTAAAACTGTGTCAGCAAACAACTTAGCTTTACAGTTATTAATAGTTTTAAGATTTTTAACGCTCTTTAAGTTATATATATATATATATGTAAATCGAAATGTTTTTGCATTTCCTCTTCTACTTTTAACATTTCTTCTTATTGATTGACGTATATATGTATTTTTTTACAAATGCATTTTCCATCAAACGCAGGAAAAAAATTTTGTTCTACGAAAATATAATGAATGAATGAATTTCTAAATCTTTGAATGGAAAACCTATTTAGAGCTCGTTAACAAGGTTAAAAAGAAGGAAAAAGTGATATGGGTTAGCGGGTTGATTCTTTACTTTGATGTTGATTTACCATTGCTTTATATATTTATATATACATGTTGTTGTTGGGCGTTGTGCATCTTTTGTATTCTAAAATGGAATAAAAATAAATGAATAAATAACAATTGTGTGAATATATTTATATATATTTACCTTTCGTAGGCGGTATGTTGCTTGATAGTGTTGTGTAATTTACAAGTAATGAATATTTGGACCGCGGGGATCTGTGAAGTTTTTCCCTGTGAGCAGTATAAATAAAATGTGGCCCAACAAATTTATGCGGTGGCTACTACCGTTGTTGCAAGAGCCTGCCGCCCTGAAGAAATCAAGCCGCGATACCACCGTTGCTTGAATGCGCTTACCAATGTTTTGTTCCACCATACGTTCCTGCATAACTGAATGGTAAATTGTGTAAGCTTCCTGGAATACGGTGTGCACTTCTTCGCAAATGTCTACTTTTTTTCGGGTGAGATCTCTTAAACAGTCTTGGCATGTTAGCTGCTTACGGATATAGCCGTCAATGCCATATTTTGTGAGCAGCTTTAGTACGACTTTTAAAAATAAGTCATTCTTAATGTGGTGTATGTTTAGGTCTTCGAACGGCACGCCATCCTGGTCGAACGGTTCGAACTCTTCTTCGACCTGGACTTTAATTCTGTAGTTCATTACCTTGATGAGGAAGAAGTCATCGTCAGTTCTGAAGCCGGTTCTCCACTTAGAAAGCTGGAAGCTCATCATTTTGTCTACTATTGCAGCAATTTGCACTGATGAGTTCGACCTTTTATAGGGGCATAATAGAACATCTACGATTTTGGAGAAAAACATTTCCAACGGGCTTTGGCTTACCCTGCGTGACGCTATACTTACGCTAGGGTAAGCCTCCAGTAGCTCCTCTGATAGCTCGACAAAGTTTTGGATCATAAGCAGAGTATCGATCGCTACCTGTTCTGTCTTGAAATGCTCCTCCAAGTAGCCGCGGCATTCTTGCAATTCGGATTTGAGATGCGTCCATGTGTCGGTGGTTATGGAGCCCCGGTACACAACGTTTGCAAACTGAGTTATCATTCTGCTTAGGCGGCAAGTGCTTTGTGCCGTTTCCAGCTCGTCATCGAATTCATCCCTGTCTATCGCTGCCTGCAGGTTCGCGGGGAATACATCGCTGAAAAAGTTGCGTGCACTATCAATAGTTCGTGGTCTTCTGAAGTTTGGGGCGAAGGGTAACCGCATCCAGAAACCATTCATGGGCTTCAATATCTTCTTCAATTTCCGGAATACATCATAGGTATAGTGCTCGCCCAAAGTATTATTGTCCATTTTTCGCCCGAACCCAAGCAAGAGCTGCCCGTGATCGTGAATAAATCTTATTTTTTGGATGCTGCCGTCTTCTCGCCTTCTTAGGTAGATTCCATCTGTGAATTTTTTTAGTGCTTCTTTCTTGATGGGCCAGAGGTCGCATACGACAGCTTTCACCACTAGGCCGATCTCTTCGGCCAGTTT